TGTTAGATTTATATATATACTAAAAATAAATTTTGTATTTAATTCTCAATATTGTAAATTGATAGATTCAAAAACTCAATAATCAAGTTTTTGTTTGATTTTTCTGAGCACTAGTACTTATTAAAATCATTATATCTCGTATATATATTATCTCTAATAAAATGATTAAACTGATTATAACGAATAAAACTATAATATCCCCCATAACTATTACATTGGTTTTAACAGCTTTATTTATTATCTTAGATCTATCTAATTTCTTCAATATATTCAATATATCGCCAGCAATTCCATTTTAGGCAAGAGATCAGGGTAACTTGAGTTGGCGCAGCGGCTTTCAAGCCACGATTTCCAGGCCTCACAACATAAGATGTGAAGGGTTTGGGAAATAAATTTTACTGTTTAGAACATAAATAAATTTCTTAGAACATTAAATTAAATAAATTAGATTTCAACACTGGTACGTACGTATATGCGTGTGTACTTACCTATTATATGAGAGTATACTTTAATAACTGAGTAACATATTATTTTGATGCTATATAACGATAAGGTAGAGGTGGTATTCTGGCGGGGTAATGTGGAAGGTCACATGCTATTAAAGTTTACGTATGGTTTATTAATTAGAAGCTAATAATTCTTATATCATTCATCAAAATGAATCGAATCGTATTCGATTCTGATCAACAGATTTCAAATACGTACAGTACAAAAAACCTATAGAGCGATTGATATTACGACTGATTTTAATAATGCATATAGCTTGTTCAAACGTCGAATTCGAAGTTGTTTGCTTGGCATTTTGAATAAACTCTGAAAATTCTATAGTAACATTATTACTGTATTAATTTTAGTTCTATTAAATTCTAAATGCTTGAGAATTTCACTAGTCTGTAAAACATTGCATTCAAGAACATTCAGCTGTTCGAACCATATATTCTATGTTTACATTTATATAAGAATTTACAGATAATGGCTTAAAGTAAATAATATTCACTTTAAACGAAGATACTAACAAAACAAAAGTCTGGTATCAAGCATGTACAGTAATCCTTGGCAGACAATTCTAGTAAGATGAAAATTAAATATAACAATTGTAACAAATTTTTATTTTAAAGCAATAAAATAAGATTTCATAAATTTATTTTGATAGACTAGGTAAAGTTCAAGGGATTGATAAAATTTAGCAAGCCTATCAGATAGTTTACTAACGATTTTAGGAACATATACACTTAATTCTAATCAAATCTTATAATCTATTAGAAATTTTTTATTGATTTTACGACGGTTTGATTTTTTTTTAACTTTTGAGAGAACATATCTCGACAGCCACCTGATCAAATTTTTTTATTTGAATTTTATGGACTCATAGGATTCAAATAAAACAATTTTCACCGAATTTGATCAGGTTGTTATCGAAATAACTTCGCTTGAGGTCTGAGAAAAAAAAATCATAACGCCTACATCACTACCAAAATTGAAATTGCAAATTTGAACGAAAGATACTGTATCTAACATCCGACCAAATTCGATGAAAACCTTTTATTTGAATTATATATCCATAAAATTCAAATAAAAAGGTTTCATCGAATTTAGTCAAATGGTCGCCGAGATATCCTAGTATTTATACTTACATGTAATACCAATCGGATGTTGTCTTTTTCGATTTATGTAGATCGGACCCTAAAAATTGAGTTAACTCCGGTCAAATTCGCAGATCATTTGGCCTAACGGAGATGTTTCAAACCCATCTCCATTAGGCCAAATGATCTGCAAATTGACTAGAATTAAAACAATTTTTGGGGTTCGATCTACATAAATCGAAATATCAGCCCTTATGAATTGTCGTGTAACACTGCAATACTTTCTACGGCATTGGTGCTACTGCATTAAATCGTCATGCGTACCGGTACATATGATCACAAATAAAACCAATAAAACTGATGCGTACAGATTCGTTTCTTTTCCTTAACCGATTTTTTATAAAAATGTCCAAATCAAATAAAAATCCACATAAAAGAATGAAATTTGATACACAAGGATTAAATCTGTTTTCAATTCATCCGTTAGAAAGATTTAATGGTCCCTGCTCAACGTATAAGCAACCAGTTGAAATTATGAGTTTTAGTTATGACAATGAGCGTACTTTGCATATGGATGATAGAGAATTGGTAATATTTAAGATATTGAATTTTGTTAATTTGTCTTGAGTAATGTATCAATTTATTCTTGATAATTTGTAGAAATATTATTATCCTCCTGATCTAAAAGATTGTAATTTGTCTCTTGGGTATGAAACATTTGTTCAAAGAGAGCATAGTGGACCAGAACCAATACATTCGTTATTGGATGCATTGGCTTATTCTCAAAAAAGATCTGCTGATAAGAATTTAATAAAAACAGATTTAGTGTGTTATTTCATTACATCTATAATCGTCATTAGACAATATTTAATCGTTAATAATTTTATTGGCTTAGATCTCTTGGCGAGGAATTTTCACGAAAATCCTATGCACACCATACAATAGGAATGAACCTTGGGAATTGGGTGCTACGTTATGGAATGTATGTTTAAATTTAATGGACTATTTTTAAAGCAATTCTAGAGTTAATTTTTTAATTCCTTTTCATAATTTTTTTAGAACACGATGTAAGTTATACTTCGAGATTATAATTCATATCAATATTATAATGTTCAAAAATACTTTACTTTGTATTTTTAGATTCATAGAAGAACATGAAACAGAATATACTAAAGAACATTCAACTGGGTCTACACCAAGACAAAAATTAATGGGTTATTGGGGATATAAATTTGAAAATTTAAGCACTATCTCTAAATTACCATCTGAAATCACTTCTTTGGATGATCCTGAATTGATCAATCGGAAAAATACAATTGTAAATACAAATGTCCAATATTGCTCAGTAGCTAAAACATCATTGGGGAATAATAAGTTGATTATGGGGGCTGAAGTTGATTGCATTTGTGGTAAGCAATTGATTTTAGTAACATTAATGACAAATTGTTTCCTAAATCGAAAGTTTTTTGCTTTTTTTACTTTATTTAATAATAAAGATGTTAAACCAAAAAGGCCTGAAAACCCTGTAGAAAAATATATTGAGTTGAAAACTTCCAAAGTTATTGAAAAAGAAAAGGATAACTTTAATTTTGAAAGGTAAACAATTTGTTTATATAATGTTTTAATTTAATGTATTACACAAACAACCAATTACAAGTATTCTGTATATAAAGGTATAAACTTTTGAAGTTTTGGGCTCAATCATTTCTGATCGGTGTTCCTAAGGTCATTGTTGGATTCCGTGATAATGAAGGTCGTGTTACAAACGTTCAAGAATTTAAAACTATGGAAATTCCGAAAATTGTTAAAGGAAAAAATGGGATGTGGGTATGTAATTAAAAGAATCAAAAGGTTATGTTTAGCAAAAAAACAAACTCTTTCAAGTATTTAATTCAATTTTTTAATACCAGAATGCGACAGTCTGCTTAAATTTTGCAAATAAATTTTTTGAATGGTTAAGAACGGTGATTGTAATTGATGATCCTAATTCATCTTACTCTATATCTTTTCATTCGCCATTTAAAGATATCAAAGTCGAATTCATTGGTAAAAAGGACTCAGTGTTAGCTGAAAGACATTTAGAGTCATTGAAAAGTACCTAATAAAAAAGTGTATAGTGCCAAACTGAAAAGTTAAATTTTTTAAAGTTCTTGTTAATTAGTTTGATACTGTCGCATTTTAAATACCGTCTTTTGTATATGCTTATACAAACATATATTTTGATAATTGTTGTAATAAATAACTAGATAATAAAGTTTTTTTTTTAAAAAGAATCAATAGCTCTTCTTAAGTTTGGAACCATTTTTATAATATTTAAACTATATATTCAATACATATCTAAATTTCAATGTTCAAATTAGTGTTTCGACTTGTCTAAATAATTTCACTCGTTAGATCATGTGCCACCCGGGGTCACCCGGTAGGTGAACAATATATTACTCGTGTAGAATTCGGATCGGATCTATACCGAGTGGATACAGTGTTTGATATCTAATGTTTTCAATGTTCTCAAGAACATTTAAAAAATCCGAGAACGCTGCATTTAAAAATCATGTCTTCTTTTGAGAACAATCTAAAACATAAAATTTAAGATTCATGTCTCAAGATTTTTATGAAAATATTATAATTAATTAATATTACATTTTAGAAAATTACTAGCATCACCAGTCCTAAGATTTGTTAGGGTTAAGGTTAGAAATTAGAGAATTATTTTTTTTATATAACATAATATAGAGCTAATACACTGGCAATCATAAATAATGCAATAAAAAAAAAAATTGTTTAAACCGCATTATTTCACGCAATTCCGGATTTATCCTTTTGCTTTTTTTTTTATTCGTGAATAGCGTCACTGTTTACTAGTAGAATTTTATTAAACATTACTTCTGTCAATGTGTAAATAATCACGCGCATGTCACGAAACACGTGATGCATTATTTTTGCTTGTTTTTACTGAAGATCAGATGGCTTATATTGTACTATGTGACATGTATAAAAAAATAATTTTTCTTGTCTGATTTTGCATCTTGTGCAATGTTAGAATTATTTGATAATAAATCAAAAAAAAGAACCATACAACTCTAGCCTAAAGGGCTCAAATATTGTTTTTGCTACAAAAAGGATATATAACAAGAGCCATAAGCTGAGCTCACCATATTAGCTTTTTTACTATCTTCTTAAGAAAAAGTGGCTTAAGAACCATATGCTTGAAGATTTAGAAAAGGTTAGTTGCTCACTGAATGTAAGTAAACCAACCCAAAGGAAGATTGTTAACTTAATTATCTCTTGATACTACTTTACTATTATGTAGCTAGTCTTCTATCTAAAAGAAAAGGAAAATCTATAAGTTTTGGCTTTTACTACATGGTTTGGTATTGGAAATCAAATGAAAAAAGCCCTTTATAAGCACTAGTTATTAAAAAGTGTGGCTTAATTTTTGCAAAAAATATGAAAGTTAATTTGTCAAAAACTGTATCAGCAAATTTAATAGGATATAAAATTTTAAAATAATTAACAAACCATAAAAAAGCTATAATATTATGTAATAAATTTCAAAATATTGTGAAATATAAAAATTACAAAATATTACATATCATTGTTTAAAGATTCAACTTAACTAATTTTTAAAGCAATATTTAGTTTGTCAAATCACTATTACCCAATTAGGATTAAAGATTAGCTATTATATAACTATAAAATTATTTTTTTTTTGCTGTATTTTTGTATTTTTATTATTTTTTTATTTTTTTTTATTCTTTTTAGATTTAAAGTTCTCTTTGCTATGAAGTAGATTCAAAAAATAGTCTTTGGCATTTTTTGCTAAAATATTTTGCAGTATTTTTTCTAGTTTTTGAAGTTTTGCTAGTAAATTATTTTGTAGTATTTTTTCATAGTATTTTTTCTGGTCTTTTGATATTTTTTAATAAGTTGTTTGGTATTTTCTAGTGAATTGTCTTGTGGTATTTCTTCTGGTTCTTTAGTATTTTACTATAAATTGTCTTTTTTGAAGGTATTAAAATAGCCTCTTTGGCTTGGAGATGTTTTATTAAATGAATGGATATAATTACAAATAAGAGTATATAAGCTATATATACACTTTTGGTGCCTAATTTAAGTAGTTTGCCTAAAGGTTCTATACTATCTGCTATACCTACATTTTAACTATAGAGAATATCTATTTAAACTCTCTAGTTATAACTATACACCTCATAACACTTAATACTAAATATTAGCTCACTATATATATGTAGATTTTGCTATCTACTTACATGAATTTTGCATCCTATTTTAGAACTATTTATCCTTGAGGCAAATCTAATAGAGTAATCCATGCCTCATACATATTTTCATTTGCATATTTAGTAATTTTTTCTTAACTAGTATATGCTATACTGCTAAACTATGTTCATATCTCATGCTATCTTTTTAGATACTGCTGTTCTATAGCTATTCAAGCTACAATCTTTCTAATTAGTTGTCTATTATGTACTTCTTGCTCTTATCAGGTTTACAATAACCCCAGTATATACATTTTAACTTCTTTTATTTCTAAATTCCTTATTGGTCTCTTTCTTACTTTTAGCCAGCAACTTAGAAGGATTAGTTTGCCCAGGCTTTAAGTGTCTTACAGTCACTCTTTTTTTGATATAAACTTCTGAAGTATATGTTTTTTTTCTCTGGTTTGGTGATCTAGTAATTTAGCTGGTGTGTTTTTTCACTTAAAAATCTAGTTAATCAGTTCTTCAATCTCTATCTTTAGTTTCAAATTTGGTCTTTCTGTAGCACTATCAAAGATTACTGCTATCTTCCAACTTGAGATTTGCCAAACAGGTTTTTAGTTATTCTGATTCCTTAAATTTATTATATTAAAGCTTCTATTTTAGATAGTGTGACCAAGATTATAGATTAGAATTTAACCAATTGAT